TTATCTCTAGCTTCTTAAAGGTTCTTATTTGGCTTATGCTCAAGATCTCTATTAAAAGGAACTGAAGGACCACAAAGTTTGGGGGAGAGTCACACCCTTCACTCAAAAGTATTATGGAATCCCTGGAGCAATAACTTGTTTCAGGCAGTACAGCTTCTGTATGGCTATAAAGTAGGGGTGTCAAACTCAATTTCATTGAGGGCTGCATAGGGTTGTGTTTGACATCAAGGGGCCGGGGTGGGCATGGCCAGCTTGACATCACTTGTGCTGGGGGCACCTATGGTGGCCCAAGTGCTCTGCCAGTGAAAATGGGCTCCTGAGCTCTGTTTTTGGCTGTGACAGCTTCCTGCAACCCTCTGCGACTGAAAACAGAACTTGGGAGGGCCATGCTCTTTTTTGCTGGCAGAGGCACTGCAGGCTGATCCTACGCTGTTTCCAGGGCAGATCTAAGCACCCTGCAGGCCAGATCCAGCCCCCAGGCCTTGTTTTGACACCCCTGCTGTAAAGGATATGTTTATACAATACGTAATCTCTTAGTAGAAATCCATTTCCTGGAGTTGCACAATGTACTGAAGTATAAACTAGCTGAATGGATAAACAGGCTGGATTCACTCATTTCACTCAGGTGAAGCCATAATATATATATATTTTCCATTGTGTGCTTTCAGCTGCTAGATCTTGAATTGTGTGACATGTTGTGTGAAATCAGCCAATGGACACAAGGAATCTGGTTGAAATCTGCCCTTTAGGCCAGAGCCCAGAGAAGCTCCAGACACAACCTGGATCCTGGTACAGTGCCAATACTTTGCAGTCCTTTCCAGACTAATTCCCAAATGCCCTCTCACTTCAAGCTCCATCCAGTCTGATATAAAGGCTGTGCTTGCACCCAGCAAAGCCAGCATTGAAACCGAACCCAGGAAAACATTGCTGTCAGTGAAACTGCATCTTAGAAGCAGGCAGAAAAGAGATATTATAATCTGTCAGTGTCAACATACCCATTACGTTAAGGATAATCTTGGCCCTTTATGAGTTGGTAGTTCCACAAGATCCGTACAAACTATTCTCTCCACTGGTGAAGAACTCCTTCGTGCCTCATTCATGGAAGGCACTTCAGGATAGGCATTAGCCAATGAAAGAAAATGGCATTCACACAGCGCAAAGGGATAGTCAGGCAGACCTAGGTTATGCTGGGCAGCAAGCCAAGAAGAATATCAAGATGTAGGTTCCAGCCAATGAAGAACACATTATGAGCAAACCCTGTTCAGGATCAACAGCAGCAACACAAGATGTGATCAGGATTTTATAGAAGGATGAAAGATAAGAGCAAAAATACTACACAAATTGATGTTGCAGATGACCATACTCTAACCCCCAGATACTCTGTCGGTTCATTTATTTTCCTCCAGCCACTGACTGCATTTGTGGAACAGAAGTTCATTTGGCTAAGCAAAGTGAGATTTGCAACTTTCTACTCAGATTTGTGATTCTCCCACAGACAGCTGGATCATTGTCAAAAACGTTATTTTGTGTGAAGAAACTGTAGCCATGACCCCATATTCATTACCCTAAAAGAATGTAATGGAAGAAAGCAATTCATCGGTAGAATTCACACATATTTGAAATTCAAAGTGAGAAATGGTTAAATGAATCAATATTTGCTATATAAGACATAAAGCCCCCAAAGCCCCCAAATACTTAGATCTGCACAGCTACATCTGAAAATATATACATTTTCAATGAAGGATGTGGAATGATTTGAAATAAGGCAATATTCTGAAGCAAGAGAGCTACGTTGTAATCCTAGGTAATTATTCTTTGGAGTAACAAATGTATGGTTGACTTCTTCCAGCAGTTTCATGCTGAAAAGCTTTGGGAAACAGGATGGAAAAAGCAAAAAGGACAAAGGAGTTTGTCAGTACCATCTTCTCAAAGAGTTTCCTAGATAGAATTCAACAATTGGAATTCAGGTACACAAGCTCCATTCTGGCAATATGAGTTGGTAGTATTATATATTAGAGTATTGTATTATGAATCACAAATGATATCAGGAAAACCCACTGCTACCTCATTCCTCAAACAAATCCTAACTGAAACAATTACCTCACTTCACTTTACTATTATGTATATACATACAGATAAAATCCCCCCTCTCTCCCCACCTCTGTGTGTGTGTGTGTGTGAGAGAGAGAGAGAGGAGGGAGAGGGAGGGAGGGAGAGGGTGAGAGTGTTTGAGAATTAAGATATCAGTCACCAACTCTGACCTTAGAAATGTGTTCTCAACTGCACAATGTCTGTACTTCTCACTTAGGGATTTTAATCCATTAAAAAGATTATTTTTGGGACAAAATGAACATGCCAATTCTCAAGCAACAAATATACAATTCTAAAATTTCTATCTAAATTCTTAGTTAGAATTTCTAAATTAGAAAGTGCTTATGGACTTTTGCTGGGAAAAAAAGAGAGAGAAATGAACATGATTTCTGGATTTAAAGATCAGAAAGGCTCCTAGAAAGAAGGAAATTGTAAGAGAGAGAGTAAGGTATAATTATAGGACTTTTCTGATATATATTGTCTAGGCCTTGCCCTTTTTTGTAAAGTGGCATCTGGGAAATATAGATGTACATGCGTGCATATACACACACTCTCACATTCAACCCACCCTGTATATCAGGGGTCACCCTGTATATCAGGGGTCACCCTGTATATCAGGGGTCCCCAAACTTGGCAGCTTTAAGACTTGTGGACTTCAACTCCCAGAATTCTCCAACCAGCATAGCTGGCTGGAGAATTCTGGGAGTTGAAGTCCACAAGTCTTAAAGCTGCCAAGTTTGAAGACCTCTGCTGTATATAGACATATGTAAAGTAAAAACCCATGCTTCACTTGTACCATAGTGATTCAACCATTCCAGTGATCATCAAAGTAAATCTTCCAGAACAGGAAGTGGTGCATATTGTTCCATCTTAAACCTGCTTCTTTTGGGGGGGAAATTTATCTCCAGAAAATGTTTGGCCTCCCTCAAAAACAGCTGGTAAAAATGGCTTACGTAAATAATGGAATGTACTGGTGTTCCAGGAATATTCTGTTCCTGGAAAATAGGTATGTTTTGACTGTCCCTATTATGCATGCATATCTATACAGAATCTTAGATTGGTTTCAGCCAACATAGGGGAAGCTAAGCACGGGACAAGATTTTCCTATGGATTTTGTTAATTAATTACTTCATCTTGAGGTTCTCATCTTAAATTCTAGGATATCTTCCTTGTGGGTCAATGTGGAGGTTAATGCCAAGTAATTTAAATCCTCCTGAGCAATGGTGAACTGTTTACTCAATCCACATAGCCTGTATCATATAGAACATGCAAGTTGTAACTATGTCAAGCTTTTTGAAATGCCTAAAAACTATTAATTTTGTACATAATAATCTCACTAAACTGGTAAGCAGAATGCTTCCAGATAGTGAAAGAGTTAGGCGATATGGAGGCAGATGTACAAGAATAAGTCACCTTATCCTCTTCCTTGGAAAAGGAAGTACTCAAAACAATAATTGCCAAGTAATGATGATTTAAAGGGAATTTTCACTGATTAGAAGTGGCAATTTTGGCAAGTCCGCATTACCTTTGAAGATGCTCAAGATTCAGTTAGGAATCCATTTTCTTGATATGTCCGCCAGTAAACCATATAAAGACCATTAAAATAATGTCTGCTATTCTGTACTTTGCTTAAATAGCCAATTAATTCTTTCTCTTAGGGTTTTTTTCTCTTATTGGTTTAATTCTAGGATTTAAAAATTTCAACTGCATGTATATTTTTAAATTAAAGCTCAAGGCTGAGCTCTTAGATTAATTAAACTGAGATATCATGCAATGCAGTACCAGTGAACAATCCTGAAAAATAGAATGCTATAACTTCTGTGCTTTGTTTTTTTAGAAGTGTTTGAAGTTGAGACTACTCAGTACTTAGGATGCTTCAATGAATTGCTTACACTAATCTGTATACGCAAGATTTGGATGGAATTATTTTCAGTTACCTTACTATTTTTAAACAAAGACAAGTTAAACCAAAGTTTGTTAAACAAGTCATAATGTCCTAGCTTGCGCATAATACTAGAACGTAATAAGTGAATTTATGTGTCCTACTAAATCATATTCCTCAACAAATTGGATTATGTCTTACTGTAATACAAGAGCCTATCCTGTATGGTTAAGTTATCACATTATAAATATGCACAGCTGAACTGGCCTCATCTATGCAGCAGTTAATGTACTGGAACAGAAACTGTGAGACCGTGAGCTCCAGCCTTCCCTTAGGCATGAAAGCCCACCTCACTATTTTGTCTTGAAATGTATAAAATAAAGATGGCATATATCCCTATTAACAGTAATAATAAGTAATTGTAATCAGAAATGGCAGCTGCTGTGCCCCAGTTCACAGATATGTGCCTGTCAAATGCCTTACTCATTGTTCCCAGAAGTAGGTTCTTGCTTTCAGATGTACTAGACAATGCTGTCCCATTGCCAGTTCTGGTTGTCAATCACACCGAACCGTCAATCACCCCATTTTGCAGAATGGGAGAAGGTGCACCATGATCTGTTCCTCAGACAGAAAAATATGTGGGACTATCTTTGTGACAATGTTATCAGTTTGATTTTATGAAGGCCAGTCCATCAAGGATACACTAATCTACATAGAATTTACTAGCCTGCAACTTAAACAAATGAATCCCCAGAAAAAGAGGATATGGAGGAGAGAGGTTTTCTCCCTCATTCCTCTGGCCTGTTCTTGAGTATGGAAAAAAAATTCCATATGTGCAAGCCAGACAGAGGAAGGTGGCACTTAAACAGTCCTTGCGGCAAGCTGAGCCTAACAAAATTGAAACAGGCATAAATAATAAATAACGATGATTTCCTGTCAGATGTCTGTCATATACAATCTTTGAGGAACTGGACTCTTTGTTTTTATCAGAAGGGTCTGACCATTAATGGGTCAGGATGAGCCTTACCTGCAGCCATAACTTGTTCTTCACTGCATCCCTTCCTGTAGCAATGCACTGAAATGTTGCATTCTGACCTGCATTGACCTCTACATCCCCCAGCCTCAAGAAATGAGGAGATTTATCTGCAGAGATAGGTAAAGCGGAAAGTTACCAAAGGCTACTCTCAGTCACATTTTTTAAATCCCCTCCCCCCAAAGATACACAGCATAGAGTCTTTGGGGCATAAGAAATTCATACATGGAAGAAAAAAAAATTGTTTTAGCTCAGTAGGAAGTACGGCCAAATAGGACGCAAAGAAATTGCAAATCTGAATTTCAATAATTTGAAATGTGAAAACTACTGCATTGATAACACAAGGGGTCAGATTTAATTAGCTATATGTCATGGTAGGTTGGGGGAATGTGGAGTCCCTGTCAGTAAATATCATCTGCATTGCAGACATAGCATTGTTTGAACCAGTGACAAACCTTTTTATACTTTCTGCATTGCCTCAGGGAAAGCTCTATGACAAAACTCTGTGTATGAAAAAAATGGGTTGAAAAAGGCACTGACAGCAGATAAGGTATGGGTGTATTATGTATTAAGGCAGTGTTTCTCAATCTCAGTGTTTTTCAACTTCAACCTCAATTTTAAGCTGTGTGTACTTCAACTCCCAGAATTCCACAGCCAACCCACATATCTATAGTTACTGAGGTTGAAAAATACTGCATTAAGGTAAAGACTCTCTCAGGTAGAGCCTAACTTCTTGTGACTAGATGGAGATATCCACATAGAGGGTTTTTTGTTTGTTTGTTTGTTTTTGCAAAAATGCAGATGCAGTTTGTCATTATCTTCTTCCAAGTTTCTGTGGCGGGGGGAGGTTTCAATCTAGACTGTAGGTTTGAGATTTCATATCCTACTCCTAAATTACTAAGAATTAGGGATAAGAAATACTGACATTATGTTTAGTTTAGTTTCCACAAACTCAGTTTCACTTGTTATTACACTCTTCCAGAGCATGCACTGATTATAATGAATTTCTCCAAGTCTGTCTGTGTGGCATCTTGGAAACTTCAAACAATTAAAATGTACAAACATCCAAAGGATGTCAGGTCCTAGAAGCACATTTCTCCAGAATTTTATAGCTGCATTAATATCTTGCTAATTTTGATGGCTAAATCAAAGATTTATCATTATTAACACCTTCTCATTACTCAGATATTTGACTTGGGGATCAGCACAGTGGAGGTGGTTGATTGAGTAACATCATATCCAGGGGTGAAATGTAAAATTTGTTACTACCGGTTCTGTGGGCGTGGCTTGGTGGTGGTGGGTAATGTGACTGGGTGGGCGTGGTCACCTTTTTTTTTTTTTCAACTTTTCAAAGCATTTTTTCTAATGCATTGAAAAGCCTCTCTGCCGATCAGGCAACTCAGCTGAGATCATCGAAGAGGCTTTTTAAAAAATGTCTCCCTGCCGATCAGGCAACTCAGCTGAGATCGGCAGAGAGGCTTTTTGAAAAATGCCTCTCTGCCAATCAGGCAACTCAGCTGGGATCGGCAGAGAGGCTTTTTGAAAAATGCTTTGAAAAGCCTCTCTGATGATCAGGCAACTCAGCTGGGATCGTCAGAGACTTTTCAAAGCATTTTTTTACCACCTCTTCGGCTAAGAGGTTGCAGAAAAAAATGCTTTCAAAAGCCTCTGACGATCCCAGCTGAGCCACGCGATCATCAGAGGCTTTTTTTTTTTACTTTTAAAAACATTTTTTCGTCGGAAGAGGTTGTAGAAAAAATGCTTTTAAAAGTAAAAAAAAAAGCCTCTGATGATTGTGGGGCTCAGCTTGGCATGGTGGTGGGGGGGGGGCAGGGATTTTTGCTACCGGTTCTCCAGACCACCTGCCGCCATCGCTACCAGATCGGGCGATCCGGTCCGAACTGGGAGCATTTCATCCCTGATCATATCCCACCTACCCCATTCGACCCCCAACCTCCCCATGTGTTCTTAGATTTTAATTTTTGGTTTTAATTTATTTATGTTTTAAAGTGAAGAGCCATGGCAGAGCAGTGGTTAGAATGCAGTATTGTAGGCTAATTTGCAGGGGTTTGATCCTGACTGATTTAAGATTGACTCAGCCTTCCATCCTTCTGAGGTTGGTACGATAAATTGAGGACACAGATTGTTGGGGGCACTATGCTGACTTTGTAAACCACTTAGAGAGGGCTGTAGGCTGTAAAGCACTCTGAAGCGGTATATAAGTCTAAGTGCTATTGTTATTGCTAATGTAGATATATATTTTTATGACTGTGAGCTGCCCAGAGTTACCTTATATAAGATGACCACCAATAAATTTTATAAACAAACAAACAAACAAACAAATAAATCCTTGGCCCTATTGGGGAAGAGCTAATGTAACTTGCTTTGGCTCTACTGGTGCATATAACCTGTTAGCCCAACAGGACATATGAAACTTTAAAAACCCAATGCTTTATAGGTCAGGACTATTTTCACTATAGCAGCTTTAGTAACAGAATCTGAATACTTCCTCTCCCCCCTTCCACACACACACACTTTATCTTTGTATGAACTAGGCAGGAGCTTGTCTGAGATGTTTAGTTAAGTTAGTTTCAAGCCCCACTTATCTGACCACTGTCTTGATAAGAGCTTCCTTCGGTCCTTCAAGACACTTAGTGCAACCTGGGGATCTACCCATAGGCTCTATCTTCTGTCAATTGAATTTCCAAAGACATGGCCCCAAATAAAACAACTGCAAGATCTGTCAGTAGAGAAACAGCCACCCATATCCAAAAACAAACATTTTTCAGAACTGTCACAATACATTTTTAAAATAGGATTTATCAATTGTTATTACCTGCTTTTATTATTGGGAGTAAAATGAATTTTAAAAATCCAGCTCACAATAAAACTATTAGATACCCTTTATTTCACTTTAATTACAGTCGAGTGAGGGAGAATCACTGAATTGAAATAATTATGTGATAACAAAATAACGTTTATGACTTTGACATTCTCCTTTTCTTTTTCTAACACCTTAGAAAAGAAAAAGATAGAAAAACAGTGGTTGCAGCAAGACACCAATGGCTGAGTAATGAAAACACCAGTCTGACAATATTGAGCCTCTCTTAGAAAAGACAGAGAAAAGTGTGCCTCTTAATCATTTCTTACCACAAGGGTAGCTCAAAACCTGGATGTCATCAATGGCAATGTAGCCATTTCTTCCATCTGAGACTTCAGCCTCAAATATTACCTGTCAAGGAGAAAGAAGAAATGTTTACAACACACAGTGCAATGGAATTCCCATCGGTCTGGCGCGAGGAGTGCATTTTCTCATTAAAGCCAAATGTTCTGCTATATTTCACGAACAGATTTAATCTTGTTCACTGCTTTTTATTTATTCAGAGATTAAGTTCTTAATTAATACTTGTCAATGCTCACTTTTCAGTGGCCTGTTATGCAGAATTTACCATTTTAAAAAGAGCTAGAGTTCCCAGGTAAAAGAGACAATGGTTTTTCAGCTTTTTTTTCATGATATTGTCTAGGAGACAAGCTTTCCAGAGTGACAGTGAAAGTAAAACCTGAATTTGCCTGCAGCTATTTTTATTCTTTGCTAAGCATGTGATAAAAATGTCACACAAAAAATAATGAAGGCATTGGTATTATACTATGGGCAGTAGCTTGGAATTAGTCTACTATGAATAGTCCTTATATGCCTTTGACTAGCAAGGACTAAGAATTTTCATGGAAAAGTGAGGGTGCACATTTAGGCAATGTTACTTAGGGATTTTGTGGGAAGAATGGACAATTTTTACCTGTAGTACCATTTCCTATGCTTTTTTGGCAAATGCCCTGGCCTTCTTAAAGAGCTTTTTAGGTAGCAGAAAGAAGAAAGTATAAAGAAGAACGGGCAAAACTTTCTCTTCCTCCTTCTTTTCTTCTACTAAGAAATTCCTAAATCTAAACTTTATCACACCATATTAAAGTTTATCACATTCAACTTAGATCTATCCTAATGTAACACCTGTTCTGAAAACTTAATGGACTGTATATACCATTCTGATAGCCTCCATATATCCCTTCCTTCAACTGCTGAGTACTAGGCCCCAGATATCTCTTAAAATTAATGTGCTGTACATTGTCATTCAAGTACAGAGGGTCTGTAAATTTAATTTCTGGTAGAGGGTTTGAACCCCCAGTACAACACCTGGCTATTGCCTAACAATCCCCAATAATGATGAAACTGATAATATTGGTAGAAATATAACTCATTATATTTAGGTTGTTTATTTATTTATATTGTGAATAAATGGGGGGTGGTTGATGCACACTTTTCTTATTTGATTTTTTAAAAGAAAAGTAAGTAATGCTTCTTTTCTTGAAAAGAATCTTCATTATAAATATTTTAATTAATTACAGTCTTGTCAAAATACATTATATGCCACATCAATACATAATTTTTATTGAGATAATCAGGCAATCTCTGCTACCAGAAGTAGGAGAAGGCAGGAGAAGAAGCAATGGATGGAAACTAATCAAGGACAGAAACAACATGGAACTAAGGAGAAATTTCCTGACAGTGAGATGTTGAGAACAATTAACCAATGGAACAGCTTGCCTTCAGAAGTTGTGGATGCTACATTACTGGAGATTTTTAAGAAGAATTTGCCCAGAATGTATAGAGTCTCTTACTTGTGTATGGGGTTGGACTAGAAGACCTCCAAGGTCTCTCCCAACTCCATTATTCTGTTATCTAAATGATATAGACAATGATCCTAGAGGGAGGGAGGGAGGGAGGAGATATGAACAGTACTCTCTTATTCTCAAATAGTGCTAAATTAGATGAAAAAGAGTTCTCCCACCACTTATCAGAATCCACAGAAAACAACAAACTCTTTATATAGCATGTACATCCAAACATGCAATATGGAAAAAATAGTTATCTTGTTTTAAAAATATTTAGTGCTGTAACAAGGACAAAGCAAACATTGACAAATAAATCGTTGGTCTTTTGACAAGCCTTATATTTATAATGAAGAGAAGGGAGATAATCCCTTTTTCACAACAGAAGTGTATTTTTTAAAAAAAAAAAAAAAAATAACCATGGCTGCTATGACCATGTTATTTTAGTAACTAACTGATATTTGATAGTATGCAGAATGCAGTTTCCGCAATCATTACATGATCTATAGAAATTAGCTGAACATGTACACATAGAGAGAGAGATAGAATATTTATGAGACAGTCTAACTCACATAAAGAGAAAAATGGAAAACACACCTATCTCAGGTTTTTCCAAATATTATGTGTGTAAACTTTGCATCTTAACAGTTGCAATCACTTTATTCCAAAGAAATACAATCTTAATTCACACTTCTAACCCATAGAATAACCACAAAGAAAAATATATAGTATATTTATTGCAATCTTGTAACTTGGTTAACTCATAAAATCTAGAGGGCTACTGCAAAACTGGGAAATATAAAAAGATAATCAATATAGAGAAGCAAGTTTCTAAACAAGCAAACATCGTTGTAGCATCAATGTTTTGGCCACAGTAAGGGCACAGAGAATCTATTTACATTATCCAGTTGTCAAATTGCATGTATTAGATAGATCATTCTGAAGAATACTATTACAAAGAGAGTCCAGATTAAGAGACTGCACAGTTCCAAACTGGATGGGGAAGAGGGGAAGAGTTTCAGGGTAGCCACACCCTAGAATCTCTCAAGATATATTTAGTAGTTTAGAAGGTTATAACTTCAATTCAGCAAGAATATGTCCCTGAGATGTGAGCAAATAAAGGATAGGATTCAATTGGATCTCACTGTGTCATCTTTGGGTTTGGGCCTGACACAAATATAAATATAAATTCAGTATCCAGTTCCTGACATTTCTGTTCCCGATTTCTCTTTTCTTTTCAATAAATCTGATTAGAGAAGCCTCAGTGAACATATTGTTGTCAGGTGTAATAACAAAATCCTAAATTCTTCTCCACCTTGCATATTCTCTAAGCTTATTTGCTCAATTCTTGATTCCTTCAACTGAACAGTTTTCTGTTATTCTACAATAATCTGATTGTGTTCCCATGTTTCTTCATGGGAATAAAAAGCAATCATCTCTCATTATGTATCTCTTCTCTGATATTGTGAACACTATAAAAAGGTAAAGGTAAAGGTTCCCCTCACACATATATGCTAGTAGTTCCTGAGTCTAGGGGGCGGTGCTCATCTCCGTTTCAAAGCCGAAGAGTCAGCGCTGTCCAAAGACGTGTCTGTGGTCATGTGGCCGGCATGACTAAATGCCAAAGGCGCACAGAACACTGTTACCTTCCTACCAAAATGGTCCCTATTTTTCTACTTGCATTTTTTATGTGCTTTCAAACTGCTAGGTTGGCAGAAGTTGGGACAAGTAACGGAAGCTCACCCCGATACGTGGCACTAGGGATTCGAATCTCTGAACTGCCGACCTTTCGATCGACAAGCTCAGAGTCTTAGCTACTGAGCCACCGCATTCCTATGTGAACACTATATATTAGGTCCAATGCTGCAATGGGCTCTAATTAGGATTGAAAGACAGGAAGAGATATAGCCAACCCTGAAGGCAAATAGGGCTTTGTGGCCATTATGACACATGGATATTTTAAGGTCTGAAAGGCTTTGGAATGTATAGTTGCATATACAATATGCATCAATATAAAAAGTATTAAATGTGGAGAAGTAGAAGAGTCTATATGTAGTGTGGACACAGAAATTGATACCGCTAATTTGTTCTCACAAAACTAGCTGACATAAATTTCAGTTCCACTTCCCCATATGACAAATAAATGGTTCTGACAAAACAAATGTTTTCTCTTTTGCTTCTTGCAATTTATTTTCCCCTTGCTCAGCTCTAGTATACATCATTAAGATGAGCAGAGAAGCAGAATTCAGAACTGTCCAAAACCTAATCGTCCTTATCATTTTAGCAGATCATTCAGCTGGCATATCATTTTGTTCTGTCCAACTACAGGAAGACATGGATTCTTGCTAGCTTAATTATCTGAAACTTGAGCTGAGATGTAGGTCACTCCTAATATCTGGAGTCAAGAACGTTAAAGAATTGGATGCAGAAGGGAAAGATGTCCCAGCAACATAGAAGAAAACTTATATATATCAGCTTGGAAGTAAAATGAATTGTACTTTATGCTATTTTTTTCCTCTCATTCTGCTTAGCTGAAATCCTAATGCATTCTGATTCATGAAGTTCCAGATTCATTTCTAGTAAGGTGATTTTTATAATTAAATGAAGGACTTACTAAAACAAATTGCTTCTTTTTCTTTACATTAAAAAGTATTATATAGGAATAAATAAATAATTGTATGTATATTAATTATATTTCTCAGATACCAGAAATAGGAGATATTCTGTTTAGAGGACTTGGAAAATAACTAAAAACACGGTAAGAACATACAAAAACTTAATTATTTTTCCTCTTTTATAAATATAATGATAAAAGCACAATAGTTATTGTACTCAAAAGGCTGTAATTTTATAGTTGTCTGGTTCTATATCTGTAGAAGTCTAGGAAGATCACCCTTGAAGAAGGAATTCAACGGCTATTATATAAACATTATCTTAGCCAGAATAGATAGGTAGCGTAAAGGAAAAGTTCAAGATTTTCCTGCTTTGATTCTCTTTAGTATAGGAAGAAAGATAAATCTCTGCCAAGTTTTAAACTTCTGTCATTTTAATCTATAACAATAAAATATTTTTCTGTAGTGTCTCTTCTCTGAATTGGTTTAAGTTGAATGGTTGACAACAATTTCCACCAGCTATTGTGTTACCAGAGAGATGGTTTAGGTTCAGTGTTAAAGATGCAAAGTAAAGGAAGAAAGACCAAATATAACTAGCACTTAGCAGAATAAGATACTTTAAAGCAGAGTTCTCCAATGTTTCTGGTTTTGCGGATAGGCGGGGGGGTTGGGGGTTGGCAGAAGGGATGCTTCTACATAAGTGGAAGTCAAGTACGTGTGCAGCTTCATTTGCACAAGCAGCAGGCAAGAGCAAATTGTACAAATGAAGCACACCTGCACACATTCGCCTACCACTTGCTGCTTTGGGCAGCCTGATTCTGAACAGTTTACAACCTGGTAGTGGGCCATGACCTAGGGGATGGGGAACCCTGATTTAAAGCATAAAATATTATGCCATTGTGTCTTTTAGAACTACTGGGCTTTTTATTAGACCTGTCTACAACACAGAGATCTTTTA